CTTTTGCCGCTGAGCTAAATCCCCAGCCCCCCCTTTATTTTTTTTTAATTGAAGATTTCTATTCACATATATCAGTTTATAACCTAGTGTTTCACTTACAGTTACACCGAGCACATTGCCCATGTTATTAAAAGTCCCATTTATCTCATAACCATGATGCAACTCATTTCTCCAGGGCTCTCTGCACGCTGTGACCATTTCTCACGATTACAGTGTCACAGCGGACACCTTTGCGTGTGGCTCTGTACTCCTAGCTCATTCACCTTAAGACAGTGTCACGTATGCAGACAGCGGGGCTCCCTGGGGTGCAAGTGCCTGACCCGATGCAGGGTGGGGCCAGCCCCACGCCAGGGACCAGCATGGAGCACTGCAGGCCTCAGTGTCTCGGCCCCGGTGCTGCGTGCTGGGTGCGGTGGTGAGGCTGGCGATGGCTCTGCAGCCATGGGAGGGGAGGGCGGCAGGACTCTGCCCCCGCTGGTTCCCCTTGGCATCCACACTGCGTGGGCTGGTGACAGCTGTCTGGGACCAGGCTGGTCACGTCTGCAAACCGCCGGAAGCCCATGGAAGTCAGGACTGCAGCTCCCCTGGCCAGGGACACGTGGCCAGCGCCCAGAGCCCTTAGAGGAGAAGGGACTGCCCAGTGGTTCTCCACTGTCTCTGTACCTGCTTCCTTCTGCCAGGGCCCTCAGAGGAGACCTGGCAAAGCCCCACGCCTCCCACCCACTGCAGAGGAGAGGCTGTTGGGCAGCAGCCCGAGGTGCCTCCGCCACCTGCAAACGGCCCCACTTTCTGCCTCCATCAGTGGCCGCCTGTCTGCTGAGCCCCCATCACCTCGCCCCTCCCCACCTCCCAGAGACCTCCTCTCCCCACCGCCCTTCCTCTCACCCCGGAGGGAAGGACGCAAAGCCCCTTAGGCTGCTGCCTTTACCCCTCCTCTTCCCAATAGCGTGGCCCCAGAACCGTCTACACTGCTATTTTTTTTTCCAGTACTGGGAATCGAACTCATGACCTTGCGCTTGCTGGGCAGGCATTATGCCACTGAGCTAAATCCCCAGCTCCTACACTGCTGTCTAGACAGCTGTCTACACTGCCTCTCCTCCCGATAGCTCCTCCCGAAGCTCTGGGGCACGGGCTCCACAGCGTGCAACCCTCTGTCCTGGGTGCTCTCTCTCCCCTGTCTGTCCCAGCTGGGGTGTGGGGTGAAGAGTCAGGCCTGGCTCTGGTGGTGTCCACGACATCTGTGCTGCCTGGGCATTACCTGCAGGGACCGGAAATGCTGGGGCACCCTGCAACCCTCCCCGAGTTCCAAAGACACGGTGGCCCCTCTGTGGGAGAGCCCAAGGAGCCAAATTATTGGGTGACCTGTTGGTTGGGGTCCTACCATTCCAAGAAGAGCCACTGAGGACTTTTCCTACCCTCCCCCTCCCCCAAACACTCTCCAAATTATAGGTAGCGAAACTTCAGAAATCGGCTTAAATCAGACTAATGGCCACACCTATAATCCCAGCTACTAAGGAGGCTGAGGCAGGAGGATCACTTGAGCCCAGGAGTTCAGGGGCAACCTGGACAACACAGTGAGACTTTATCTCAAAATAAAATAAAATTATATTAAATTAAGTTAAAATAAAATAAAAGTTCCCACCCACATGCAAGGCCAGTCACCCTCTGCTCTGCACTGTAACATCAGGATGACCTTGGCTCCCGACCATAACAGCCTTTTTTTTTTTTCTTGTGCTAAGGATTGAATCCATGCTAGGCAAGCGCTCTACCACCCCCAACCCTTTTCTATCTTTTTATTTTGAGACAGCATCTCGCTAAGTTGCCCAGGTTGGTTGTGAACCTGCGATCCTCCTGCTTCAGCTTCCTGAGTAGCTGGAATTTCAGGTGACTGCCCTTGTGCCCAGCTTGGTAAAGAACATCTTTATTGAGAAGCAGTTCACATATCATATGATCCACACACTGAAAGCACACAGTTCAGCAGTGTGCACACCTCACGGAGATGTGTGACCCTTCCACACCTGTTCAGAGCATGTGTGCCACACCCACTCAAGAAACCCTACACCCTCGGCCAGCAGCCCTGAGCCCCAGCTTGGCAAGCACTCGCCTACCTTTTGTCCCTATAGGTTTGCCTATCCCACACTGCTGCTGGAAGCTCAGTGCCAGCTTGGGGTACATAGTGAGTTCAAGACCAGCCTAAGCTACACAGTGAGACTTTGTCAAAAAAAGAAAAATACACACAGACCTGAAGCTCTTGCAGATCATTGTCATTATCCTGGACAATTGGACATTCCTGACCCAGCTCCCTGGCTTGTGCCCCCGAGGCACAGCCTACACACATTCGTAAAGCATCAGCATTGGGGTGCTGACCACATACACATACACCACATACATACACCCCGCCACCGGGGCCCTCCTATGAGGCAGGTGCTGTCACCCACATTTTACAGGTGAGGAAACTGAGGCCCACAGCTGGCGCTAACCACTGGCTCTGGGCATGCTCTTGGCACCTGTGAACTAACTGAAAATATTCACTGAATGAGTACCAGGCGCTGGGCCAGGTCCTGGAGACACGACAATAAACCAGGCTGGCACTGCCCATAGGGCAGAGGTCTTTCTAGAACACAAATCTGACCCTTTTGAATCAGTGCCATCCCTCTGCCCTTCAGTCCATACCTTCCGTGGCACCCGGCCCTCAGGACCCCCTCTGCTCTCGGAGCCCTGCCCTGCCCTCCCCTACACTGTCCCTCCCCCTTTCTGCACCGGCCCAGGCCTCCCTGGAGCGTCCACCTTGACATACACCACCCTCCTCTCCTATATGGCCTCCCCAGTGGCAGTTACTTCTACCTCTGCCCCCTCCAGGAAGTCTTCCTTCCCAACTTCCGGCCAGGGGAGAACCCTTAGAGCTTCCTGCGCCTGTCTTGCAGCACATGAGATTTCTCTCTCCTGCAGCCTGGGCTTCTCCAGCTCTGACTAGTGCATCCCAGTCCCTCTGCCCTCATCCACCAACCCCGAAGCTCGTAGGTTCTCCTGGCCGAGGACAGTGGTCACGAGCGAGAGACACACACTCTGCTCTGGGCCGTGCTTAACGAGAAGCCACATTGCTGTGCCCACAGGGCTGGAGAAAGACACGGGAGTGGCTGGATGTTTGGGGTGCTGCACACAACTTCCTCAGGCTCTGGCTTCCCGGCTGGGGTCTACCCACGAGTCCCCAGCTCTCAAGGTAGCCCTGCAAAGAGATGAGCAGGGCTGGGGTCAGCTTGGTGGGCTCCCGATCCTGGCTGCAGAGTCTCTCTGTGCCTCAGTTTCCTGATCCGAAAAATGACATCATCTGGCCTCCCACCCCTGCCGGCTTTGCAAGGCGGTTGTGAGGGGCCACGGGAGGGGCCGGTGACACACACTGTCGTCTCAGAGAGCAGACACTCCGTTGTCTGGCCAGCTTCCTGACATTCCCGTCTTGGGCACATTCTGTTTCATTTTGCAGAATTCCAATCAGTTTGACTTTGGCTTCCCCTGGAGGCCTGGGCCACTGTGGCTGTTCTCACAGAGTAGGGTCTATTCAGGGGCTGTCTCTGGAAAGGTTGGAGCCTGGGGAAAAGCTCAGGCCCAGCTCACCAGACTGGGGACAGACACCCTCGGAGCCGCATTGCCACCTGCTGAGATGGTGACTCTCTTATCAGGGAATAGCCTGGTCTGGGGGCCTGGAAAGAGGAAGGTCCCATCTCCCCCTGGAGGACAGGAAGTAGGCCAGAGGCATCTCCTTAATGCCTCGCCACTCCCAGTGTGGCCTTCAAACAGGCCAGGGAGTGGTCTGCAAGGGTGGCTCTCAAGATGGCCGCCGCGGCCTCCAAAGTCTCTTCTCCCAGGTCGCCTGAGGAAAGAGAGGGCGCCACGGCCAGGCCACGGTCACTCCTCAAAGCCCAGGGGTGCAGAGTGGGGCGGGAAGCATGGGGCGGAGGGAGCTGGGGTGGGTGGGGGGCCGGGGAAGAGCCAGAGAGAGGGGCCGGGAGAGGAACAAAAGGTCCCTTTGTGGTGCGGGGCAGGGAGAAGAGGGCGCGCATTACCCAATGCCCAGAAGCCATGTTGGTAACAAGAGAATCATTCTCTGTCTTGCTTGGAAAACAACTTGGAGCAGAGAGAGACAGGGAGAGATTTAACCCCATGGGCGCGGGCGCGGGGGCCCGAGGCCACAGTGGGAGGTGTGGGGACCAGGGCATGCTTGGGGGTCTTTGGGTCCCGAAGCAACGCGACTTCCTGTCTCCCAGGCCTGGTCCACGGTAGACGGGACCAGACTCTCAACATGGCCCCTTGGCCGAATCCCAGCGGCTTTTGGACAGAGACCGGAGCCACAAGCTTCTACCTGCCTGGGCCTCGTCAGATGTGACCCCCTTTCAAGAAGGCACCGGGGCCTGGCCCACCTCAGCCTCAAGAGGATCCTTACGTGGCTTCCTAGTCCAGGCCTGTTCCTCGTTCCAGGGCTGCTGGCCTTCCCGTGGTGACAGGGCGCACATCCTTTCCCGGGAACGTCCCTCCCATCTTTGCACAGTTTTGTCTTTGAGAAAGCCTTTCCCAAAATATAGTCAAAGCTCTCCATCCCGGCCCTGCTTCCCCCCCGTTCCCCAACTTCTGCCCACCAGCCCCGGCGCCCAGGCTCCTGGAGGCCACATCCAATAACAGGGCCAGGCCCTTGCTTGCATACTTCTTGCCTTCCCCCTCCTCTTCTCCTTCCCCTTTCCTTTCCTTTTCCTCCCCACCCTTTCTCTCTACTCGTCTCCTCTCCTCCCCTCCCCGCCCCTCCCTTCTCTTTTCCTCTCCTCTCCTCCCTCCCTCTTTCTTTCTTTCCTTCCTTCCTTCTACACGAATGGATCTCTGGCCGTGTGCCAAGCACTATTCCAGCCCTGGGACTATAGCAGTCAACAAAGTAGACCACCTCTGTCCTCATGGAACAGATATTTCACCACCGGGGAAATGGGTGAGAAACAAGCCTATAAGCTAATGTCAGATAGTCCTAAATTCCACGATGGAAGGCAAGGCAAGATGGAGGGAGACAGAGCCAGGAAGCATGTTCCGTTAGTTAACAGTAGAACACACCTGTAATCCTAGCACTCTGGGAGGCTGAGGCAGGAAGCTTGCAAGTTTGAGGTCAGGCTGGGCTATGTAGTGAGACCCTATGTCATTAGTAATAATAATTAATGATTAATAATAATGATGATGATGATAAAAATAAAAGAGCTGGGGGTGTAGCTCAGTGCTAGGTTCAATTCCTAGAGAAAAAGAGAGAGAGAAACAACCCCTGCAAAGGTGCAACATCAGAAAAGATACAAGCAAAGAGAAGAAGAGTATCTGGAGCAAGGATGCTGCAGACAGCAGGACATGCAAAGGCCCTGTGGGTGGATCTGCCAGGAGGCCTGTTCAGCTAGAGCTCAGTGAGCCAGGGGTGATGAGGGCCATGGGGCACCAGATCCGTGGGGTGGGAGGGTCTGGTAGTGAAGGCCGGAGGGGTAAAGGGCCTTGTTCGTAGGACAAAAGCCAGAGGACAGCAGTGCTGCTCCCTGACTGGGGGGCCGAGCTCAGCCCCGGGAGGGCACCTGGCTGGTAAACCTCAGCTAGGAGGTCCTCATTGTTTATAAGCAGGAAAGCCTCCTCTTTGGGCAGGGTGTCTGTCATTTTGTTTTGTTGCTTATTGTTAGCGGTACAGGGGATGGAACCCAGGACCTTCCACATCCTAGGCAAGCACCCTTTTTAAATTGTATTGTTAGAGAGGGTCTCAGTAAATTACCCAGGCTGCCTTGAAGTTGCGACCCTCCTGCCTCAGCCTCCTGAGCATCTGGGGTTACAGGATTCCACCACCGTGCCCAGCTCTTGAGGGAGATTTCAAGCTTTAGAGCTCTGAGCACATCCCCTACCCCCCGCCCTTCTTGCTGTGATATCAGCAAATGGCCCAGCAAGGGGGGACACCCCACGTCCAACCTCAGTGGTCCCTGGCCTCACAAATCCTCAGCTTCTGCATTTGTAAATCACATCCACCTGGCAGATGTGTGGGTGCATTAAAAAAAAGACAGCTCACTTTTCAGGGGGTAGAAAGGGGCTCAGAGAGATGAGGCCACGCAGCTCTTGGTGACCGGCCAGGACTTTAATACCAGGGCCCACGCATCTGTGGGCTCCTCCCTGTGTCCACAGCTCTAAGAGGTGTGGGGCAGTTGCTGCAGGAAGTGGTGACAGCAGGAGAGGGAAGCTGCAGGCCCAAGACGGCAGGGTGGGGGGCTCCCTCGTGAGGATGCTTAAGGCCCCGCCCCAGGTGAGCAGAAGACAGACAGCCACCCTGGCTCCCTGTCCCCTGATGGGTGTGGCGCACGGCACCAGTGACAAAAGATCCGTAACCTCAGGCCTGAGCAGCACATAGAGGAGAACGGAAGACACGGAAGGAGGAAGGAGGGAGCTGTGGCAGAGGCAGGGAGCTGCCTAGGGAGGGGGCGTTGCACAGGCTGAGGCCAGGGCAGCCTGTGGGTGGGGGTCTGCAGGGGACACAGCAGGGGATGCACCCAGAGAGCGGGCAGAGGGCGCTCCGGGCCTCACCTCCCACGCACAGGCCACCTGGAAGCTCTGCCTGAGCTCTCATTTTAGTTCTTCGCTGCTCAAAGATGACCTGAAGCAAACTCTGACCGCTTTAAGGTTTTATTTTCTTATCTGTGAAATGGAGAAGGTATTGGCACCTACCTCCTAGCACTGTCCAATAAAAGAATCAGCTTCAGAGAGGGCACTCAGCTGGGGGGAAAGTGCCTGCCTGGCATGTTCCATCCCCAGCACAAATCATCAGCATCGTCATCATCACCATCATCATGAAAATAAAAAAAACTTGAAATTCCCTGTAATACTCAATGTTAATACAAAGCAGTTCCTATTAAAGATAAATAGCCAGTGTGTACCAACTTCCCAGTGACTGTAACCATTATGTACTACAAACATGTACTAATATAAGTAAATAAATAAATAGCTAGCAGCCGCAGTGGCAAAGCCTGTAATTCCAGAACTCTAGGAGGCTGAGGCGGGAGGGTGGAAAGTTCAAGCCAAGCCTGGGTGACTTAGCAACTTAGCAAGACGCTGTAGCCCAGGCTGGCCTCGAACTCACGACGATCCTCCTACCTCAGCCTCCTGAGTGCTGGCATTACAGGCGTGTGCTACCACACCTAGCTCAATCCCTAGTACTTCAAAATAACAATGATTGAAATGAAAGGAAAATGCTCAAAAGTAAAGGGCAACTGGGGTGTGGGAAAAGAAAAGCAAAAGAAGGGGAAATTATGTAAGTACATATATGCAGGATAGCTAACATAGTTGTACTACTGTCTTCTATTGCTCTGCAGAAAGGAACAGCTAATGCTTACTCATTTGATCAGTCTTGCATGTCTATTTGTTTTCCTGAGAAACCACTTTGAAGATATCAATAAGTAATACAACAACCATGGTTAATTTCCTACAACTTTGTCTGTAACTCTGTTTTGTTTTGTATTATTCTTATGCTATTTTGTAAATGGATCTCTGTCTGTTAATGTTTTCCTTCTATTATTTTTTAAAATAAAGTAAAAAAAATAACAGTGATTATGATGATGATGATGATGATGATGTTAATAATAGACAACTCCCTACTGGCCTCTACTTCTGGCCTCTGCTCTCTCTCTGGTGTCTCTGCCAGCTGCTTCTGTGGCTGACCGGGGTTCCGAGGGGACCGAACCCTCTAGGCAGACTGGGTTGAGAATCTCCTCCCTGGGGTCAGTTCTTTCCTTCCTTCCCAAGTGGAGAGTATGTCTTACCCCCGTTTTACAGGGTGCAGAGTGGGAAACTGAAGCTTGGAGACAAGTCCAGAGTGGCAGTGCTGGAATTCTCACTGGGGAGAAGCTGGGCTCCCCGCTGTGTCCCGTGCCAGGTACTTCCAGCTCATGGATCCATCGCCAGAAGGTCTCTGGTTCCGTCGTTACCTCCCCATTTCTCAGAGAAGGAAGTTGAGTCCCCAGCTGGCACTCAGACAGGAAGCGGCCGGGCAGGTCCTGGGAGAACAGGTCTGAGGACACTGCGGAAGGAAGGAGGCCACAGCTGAGGCCGTGATGAGAGTCTGAGACAGCCCAGGCAGGCGGGAAGGACACCGGGGAACCCAGGGAGCAAGGCCTAGAACGGTGGCCTAGAAAGGCGGCACCAGGTGGGAGGCAGGAAGGGGCAGCTGGGGAGGAGAGAAAGCCCAGAGGACAGGCAGGGACAGGGAAAGCCCCGGGCTTTGGGACGCCTGTGACTGTCCGGCTCCCCGCACCTGCCCCAGCCGGCACTGGGAGTGGGGGTCGGCCAGGGCCACAGCCACTCTTAACTCACAGGATCGAAGGGGTCGGGCCCCCGACGGCGCAGTGAACTTGGAGGCGGTGGGTCACGCGGGCCGTCGCCCGTGCAGGCCCAGTGTCCTCACCCACGTCACCCACTCGCCCGGCAGCCCGGGACGGAAGCCTCTAGGCCATTCCACGCGGCCATGTCGTCAGTCGGCCAAGTCACATGGTGGGCAGGCGGCGGGGCCGTGGCGCCTTCCGGTGGCTTCCCCGCCTCCACCCGCCCCTCAGGATCCTGCCACCACGTTTGGAAAACAACTGAAGAAATCAAGTGGAAACACAAATCCGCCACCCAGTCCCTCCTGCTCCCGGGGCCAGAACCCCCCACCCACTCACTGCATGAGGACACGCCAGCCTGGCAGGGTTTGCCTTGGCGAGGCCCCATGGCGCCGCCACTCCGCGCCTGTCACCCGTCTGGGCACCCCTGCCCCAGGGGGACCTGGGATGCCAGGTGGATCCCCTCCTTCACTCTTCCCCCCAAAACTTCCGGACTACGCCTGCAGGGCCAGGGAAGTTCCAGGCCTGGCCACCCCAAAGACTAGCTGGTTAGTGGGGACAGCTCTCGTGCTCTGTGGGTCTCAGCTCTGTCCTGGGCACGGTGGGAGCAATTATCATTGCCCAGCCCGCTCATGGGGCTAAAGGGACGAGGACAAAGGAGGGCGGCCTGTGCAAACTGCAGCGAGGGGGCACCGCAGCGTTACCTCTCAGGTTGGGGAAGTCAGCTCCACTTGGGAGACATGAATTAAGGATAACAGTACAGGGCCCCCTAGGCTGCGCCCCTCTGAGCCCCAGGGCCCACCCCCGAGCCCTTGCCAGCTTCGGCTTGCTGCCTCTCCTGGCCCAGCCCTTCTCAGAGTCCACGGATGGCCACCCCCAGCCTGAAACGTGGCGGTGGAGCCGCTGATCCCTGCAGGAGTGGCGCCTGCCGCCCTTGCGTGTGTCTACAGCGTGCGCCGTGCTGGCACTGTCCCACGGTGTTGGTCACCCTGGTCCCCTGCCCTACCCTCAGCACTCAGTGGAGCTGAGTGTGTGCGCGTGGGTGTGCGTGTGTGTGTGCTCATGCACGCGTATGTGAGATGGAGGGTGGCCGTGCAGGGTCAGCCGGCTCAGGAAACTGCGGACAGCCACCGGGGGAGGTCAGAGCAGACTCCAATCCAGTGCCCCCGACCCGGGTCACACCAGACCAAGTCTGGCTCCTCAGTCTCCATGCCGTGTGGCGGGTCTGGAACTCTGCTGCAAGCTGGTCGCAGACAGAGCGGGGCACACTGGCCACACATTAACACTCAGGCTTCAGGCCAAAGCGGAGGCCAAGACCGAGGGGACTAGAGTTCTGGGGAGTGGGGGGTGGATGTGAACCAGTTTGAGGGAAAAACTGTCGGGGCCGATGACCAGCCGTGAGGGGATGACGGGGCAGATGAGTCAGAAATGACTCTGAAGTTTCACTCCCGGGTCACTGGAGAACAGTGGCGCCGTTCACGAGGCAAGCGGGGAGGCGAGGGCTGGTCTGGGGGCAGGATGGTGACGCCAGTTTGGGACATGGAGGTTTTCGGGTGGGAAGCACCCTCCGAGGTCACCCGACTCAGACGTGAGGGAGTGGAGGCCGGGACTGCTGGGGAGTGAGGAGCTGGGCCGGGGTCGGGGTCGGTGCCAGGCCCAAGGCTGGGCCCTGCCAGGTTCACAGGGATGGGCCGAGATGAGTCCTGCCCCGGGCTGCAGGGGTCGCTGTCCTGGGGGGGAGGCAGACAGCTTAATCACAACTCGATCTAAGGGGACCCCGCAGACATGGTGGGGGCTCAGAGGCCAGGCCGACCTCGGGGCAGGGTGTGGGGGAAGGGAAGCTGGCCAAGGAACAACATCACCGCTGTCGCTCTGTTGCTACCCGCCAAGTGCCCCTCATTTAATCCCTGCAACCATCCTGCAAGACACATGCATGACTGTCCCCTCACAGATGAGCTTGAGATCGGTCCGGCAGACTGGCCCCGGCCTTGAAGGGCTGAGGGTGCCCTGCTCCTCGGAATAGTTGTGCTGAAACCAAGGCCCCTACAGACAAGTAGGAGTTTTCCTAGTGACATGAGGGGGAAGTGACTCCAGTTGGTGCCCAGGCCGGGAGACCCACCACCCCCTGGGCAGGTTGAGGCCCTAGTGCCCTTCTCTCTTGCCTCTTTCTGCCCCTACCTGTCCCCAAGCCCCTCACTTTGCATACCCTGCCCGCCCTTTGTCATACAGATGAGCCAGGGTCAGGGGGCTGAGGTGGGTCCGAGTCCTCCCATGGGATGGGACCAAGCCCTGAGCTCATTTCCGTCCTGGGCCACAATTTGCAGGCAGCTGGAGATGGAGTGCTTATGACCCCCGTGCAGCAGGAGCTGGGGTCACCTCACACCAGCTTCCAAGTCTGTCCATTCTCCCAGTGTCCCCGCTGCGTGGTGAAGTGCCCCGCTGCGCCCCACAGAAGAGACAGTGCTGTGTGACAGCACAGCTGCCCTCTCTGCACCTACTGGTCCCTTCCCAAAGGCCCCTCTGCACGTCCCCTTCCAGAAACCTCCTGCCCTGCCAGGTTTGTTCATGGCGGGTGCCCAGTTAGTGTTCAGTGTTTGAATGGGAGGGGAGTGGACTGGATGGATGCGTGCCGTGATGGGGCCCTGGGGCCCTGGGAAGCTCTGACTGCAGTGCCCTGCCCCAAGGTGTTCATGGAGGATACACCAGCTGTTAACTTCAGGAAAGCCAAAGCCAGCAACAGACTCAAACCAGCCAGGTTACCTGGAAACTGATCCTTTCACTCTCTGCTCAGTCTCCTGAACTCCTCTTCACCCTTCAAAGCCCAACCCATCCCTGATGCTACCTCCTCCAACAGGTTTCACATTCTACCTTGCTCACACTCTAATTGCTGTACTCATAGCGCTGGGTAGTGCCTGTCCGTCTGTCTGTCCATCACCCCATTAGCCTGGAGCCAATTGAGGGAGAGCCTTATTGAAGCAGTCTTCAGCCTGGCGCCAGACAGGCTGAGAAACTGATTGCTGGACCTGAATTGACTCTATCACTGCTGGGCAACTCATCCCCTCTCTCTGGGCCTCAGTTTCCCCCTCTGCATAAACTAGATTTTCACTAGGTAGCTTCCAAAGACCCTTCACCTCACTGCCTTCTAGGATTCTGTGCCACTCCCTGCCCCCCATCTGTCCCTAACTTCAAGTCTGCTCCTGGGGCCCCAGCCCTCAGATAGGTGGCTCCCCTTCCCAGGCTGCCTTCACCCTCACCCCCAGACCCTGAGCTCATTTTCCAGGGTGCTCCCAGCTCTCGCCTTGCCCACCCGTCTCGCCTTCCTTGCTCCCTGCAGGAACGCAGCGCGCATAGTGCCCCTGCAGAGGCTACGGTGCGGTGGCCGGGGCTTGCAGGCCCTTTGGGAGCTGGCAGAGTCCCTGTTCAGGCAGGCCCAGGAGCCGCCTGCCCATCACAGTAGGCGGGCACCCCACAAGCCTCGGGGCAAACAGCCACATGCCACCGTCTGTCGACTCCAACCTTCAGGGAACGGTGGATAGGGTGGGCTGGGCCCCTTCTTCCCAGCTCACGGAGAGCGTGCAGTGGCTGTGTGGTCACTGCCCTCTGATCTGTGCCTTCCTCCATCCCAGCACCCCCGTGGACACATGCATGTGCACGCATGTACACAGCACACACACGCTCACACAAACACGCATGCCTGCACAGGAACCCGTCTCTATCACCCTGGGCTGCACCCGGAGCACGGGCAGGTGTCAGGGCACTGTCCAGATTTTCTGGCCACAGGGAGACCCCAGGGCTGTTAGAAGGGGCTCCTCATCCCTCCAGGGTCTTAAAATCTCAGAACCCTACTCAGCGGCAGTGTCCTGCCTCAGGAGAGAACCCTGGCTCTGGCTTTGTCACCGGAGTCCTAGATAGTACAGATACAGTGGTTGAGAGCCCAGATTGATGCCTCCTCCCTAAGAGCTGGGTGATCTTTGGCCAATCCTAACCTCACAATAGTACCATTGTCCTATCTGTAATACAGTGTCAGGTAAGAGCACCTGTGATGAAATGAGTTTCCAGATGTGCACCACTGACTGGCATGCAGTAGGTGCTCAATAAACATTGGCTGCTGCTGTTATGAGGATAGAGGGGAGGTGCTCGGTATCTTTGCCTGTGAACTCCAGCGGTCATGGCAGGAGCTAGGGAGACACCCCAGGAGCTCACAAAGATGGGAGAGAGACGCTGGGCCTCCATGTGTCTCTGGGTGCACCGGGGAGATGTCCAGCCATGACAGCTGAGGGGCTGAGCCATGAGAAAGGAGCATCAAGAGCTATGAGAGACCTCAGAAGAGGAGAGGAGTTCCTAGAACAGAGACAAGAGGGACTTCCGGGTGGAAGAACAGCCTCCACAAGGATGGTCACCACTCAGCAGAGGAGCACGGGCCGGCATGGGGTGGCCTTGGCCCCACCCTGCATTACACACAAGTCACCCGCCCCACACAGACAGACACACCTCCTTCTGTGCCTTGGCACTTTTGTTCCCAAGACCCCTCCCGAAGGTGTCACCTCTTCTGAGAGGTGCATGGCCTCGGAGCTTTTCCATGATCTTGGGACCTCTGACTCCCACCAGGATGGGAGCCCAGAGACCTGCAGGTAAGGAGAACTCGACAGGGACCAGTGGAATGGATGGATGGATGGGTGGGTGGATGGATGGATGGATGGAT